CGCGGGGGAGAGAGAGAGAGAGAGGGAGAGAGAATTTAGTGACAAACTTGGAAGGAAAAAAAATGTCTCTTGGCAAAAATGAAACAGTACTATAAAGTAGGCAACGAACCATGTTTTTAACCCTAAATTTCCAACAGTTAACATTATTATCATCACACTTAATTAAATATAATGCCAATTGTCCAAGTCGATCACGATTATTAACAAAAATTAGCAATCTTCATCGAGTATTTCAAATTTGTAAACTACCAAATACTTGTGTACCAACACTCTCCGTTTGTGCCCTATAGCCTACATTGCATCGACAAGCATTTGGCTCGAATATGGTAAGCTTGGACAGAACTCGTTAGGAGTGTTTCTAACCACGTCAATGACACCTACGTTATCTCCAATATAATTTAAAACGTAGGAATAAGTGTTAAACATTCAGTTTCCCATTTTATCCTCGCATTTTGTCGTTTATGATCAAAATCCCCTTAGCATTTAATTTATTTCCAGTAGATAATTACAATCAACATCTTGAATAAAAGATAGTGAGGGAAATAAAGATAAAACCCGTAGCTTATTACAATTCGAAGAGTTCCGAGAGAAATCCATATCATGGATAAAAAATGCAGATAAGAAGTGATAAACTCATCCTCAGAAGATAATCCAGATTGAATAATGTTCACACTCTATAACAACAGAGGGACAATGCAAGAACAAAATCACAACAATAAAATGAGATAATTGCAATAACAATGCTAATCATAGAAGGGGGAGGATGGGATAATCATGCAGAGGTTGGACATAACCTATGTAACTTTGTTGCCTGCTAGCTTCGGTTCTTGACTCCATCGTGAAGTTCAATAGCTACATGTTCTTCATTTGATTGTTGAGTCTCACTTCCAATACTCGAAATTGAGGCCAGAGAATTCCCATTATCTTCCTTGATAAAAGTATGCCACTCATCAATATAAGCTGCTCTATCAGGATCGAAGCTTGGTATCTCTCGCTGCTGAAGAATTTGAAGAATTTCTTCTGTTTCACCAAGAAGGAGAGCAGCTTGACGAACACTCTTTTGCCTTTCCTTTAGGGAATGATGGTGGCATTTCGTAATTATGACATGTGGTAAATTGGTAAGGGAAGCTGCCAATATATCCGCAATCATAAGGGATAAATGGTCAAACAGTCCGTCATCAGTTTCATTATTGCCAATGGCCAGCAAAATAGTTCGACTGATCCGGTACATTGAGTTAGCAGCTATAATCCTAGCTGGCCAATTCAAAGGTTTAACCATTAGGAAATCATTCACTTCGCTGAGGAACTTCTTAACCGTCCTTTCAGCATCATTGGAAAGCTCTTCTAATGGTTCCTTGGAGGTTTTGCTTTGGCGACTTATTTTGCGGAGATCCTTATTTTGCCACTTGCAATTAAAATCAACTCCTACCCATTCAACATCTGCTGCATTTTTTATGATTGCCAAATCCCCATTTTTATCCAGGCTTTTATCTATATGTTTTAACAAGGTAAGGCCTTCCCCGACACACCTCACTAACTGATTAGCATTGTCATCTGAAACGTTGGGAAGTGCAATTGCGATGCATGTAAGAGTCACCAAAGGTAGAGACCAGATATTAGGAGGCTCCTGAGAATGTAAACTTGGAACTTGATTATTGTCAAATTCTCTCACCCCATTGAAGTTGTTAGATTTGTGTAGAAGTTCAATTAGGTTGATCGGTTTCTGTTTTTTCCCTTTCTCCATCACCTTGTCCACCTCATCCCCGATGTTTTTGAGGGTCTTTTTGGGAATTCCAGGCTCTCCTTGAAGTAAAAGAACATAACGAGTAAGATCCAACTGTGCATCGCCACCAGATTCCGATCCTCCGGTATCATCAGAAGCACCAATAACAAATATCTTTAGCTTCTTGATGCCGTGGAAAAATGAGGCAGAAATGAGAAGAACAAGTTTGCTTGCCCAAACCAATAGATACTGTAATCCAAGACAGCAATTCAGAAGTAGTCTTTTTACATCATGAAGAAATTTTTTCCACTTGCGGTGTCGAACTTGTAAAGGTAATGGGCTTTCTCTTAAGTCCACAAGTCTCTGAATCCAATAAGTCTCAATTTTTAAGTCGGTTTTGAAGCTTTTCCGGCCTATATCTGAACACTTAAACCGAGCAGCAGTAAACCATCTGAATGCAGGGGCGATAATACCCAATGCCACTCCAATTGACTGAACGTATAGAATCCATTTGATTGACCACTTATAGCTTGAAAAATTCTCCTGATATCCATCGTATTGTATTGGCGTCCGAATGTAAGCTTCTATTAAAGTGAGAGCAGCTAATACACACATCAAACCTGAAGCAGTGCAAATCACACTACGCGCCATTACAAATTGGGGGCATCCTGTCACTGCCATCACCCAATATTTTTTTACCACTAGTCTCAATTTGTCAACTGGAAATTTTGGCCCGTCCACTTTTTCTTCATCTAAAGCTATTTTGTGCATCTCTTGGTACTTGCATTGTATATAACTTCTGGTAGTTATAACGGTCAAAGCCGAAGAACAAAACATAACAAGTGAAATAAAGATAAAACTCGTTACTACAATCTCTTCACTAAATATTTCAAGAAAATCAGTATAAATACGCATTGTGACAAGGTGGAGATAAACATTGCCAATGACTGTAATTATCAAAATACCTAAAGCAGCTAAGTTCAGTAGCATCTCATTAGCGTCCATGGATCCCAAAGATGTCATAAAATTTGCCATCACAATTGACATGAAAACGAGGCTACTAACCCGTGCAATGCTTTCATTAATCCCCAACATATTAGCAGTAAAATCCACTGGTAGTTTCAATGTGACTGCTAATATTGTCAAAGACATTGCATTGAAAGAGAAGTACTTACATGGGAACCACAGCCTTTTACTACGAAAACCATGGAAGGTGTCAGCTGCTATTGCAAGGGAGCAGACTACAGAAGCTGCCGTAATACACATGCCAATCCATGGCATTGGGGAATCCAATTTGTTTTGCATATATTTCATTTCTTCAGAATCGTAGTCGCAGACATCACTGCATTCACTCCATCTGTCACATAGCGCCCTGCATTGAACTGAATCCATGAACTTGTCTCCGAAATTCAGTCTATTTCTCTCCCAAGAACTTTTAAGTTACTGACTTACGGTTGATCTTATGATTCAC